TATATTTGAATGTATCTATGTATATTTTTTACATAAATAGATGGCATGTTTGCAAAATAATTTTCTCCCAATCTGATTTCACCTGATGAAGGAGCAGGAATAAGCTCTGAAACGTCGTGATCAGTGATTAAAAAGTAGCTGTCCATAAAACGCATGAACGTATTCAACCTGTGCACTTGTAACTTAATGACATTGCTTCAGGTCTTTGTGGTATTCTCGGTTTGTTTGGTTTTCAAACTGGGATTTTAAGTAAACTAATGAGATTTGCATTGTGTGAACCGATCTATGAAAATCACGTATTCAGGAACACCGCCACGTATATTATTTGCATAAAAAGTAAATACGGCAATACAAATAACAAAACAAATATCCATCTTAAATGTTCAAATATTGATTTGCCTTGAAGCAGTTGAGCGATAAATATCTTCTAAAATACCCTTTGAATATTTAATCTCCTTGACTGACATGTCTCGGGTTTGAATAGTCACTGTTTACCGTCAACGGAGCGCACGTTGCATTGTCTGCTCAAATCGAAAGCTTGCGCTTGGGGTAGGGGTGTCAGCAAATATCTATAAATCGTGGTAAACATGTTACTCTGCAATATTTGTTTCTAGTGATTAACAAACAAAATATAAGATAATAAGCTTCCTAGCATCAACCGTGGCCCAGCTTCAAACACAGGCCTAGGCTGGCTATCCAGGGAAAACCCATGGTGTATTGTGATATGCTGGAGGTATGCGCTTGTCCCGTTATACAATGTAAATAAGGGCCAGTGGGGTAGCCTAGTGGTTAAGGCGTTCGCTCGTCACGCCGAAGACCCGGGTTCGAATCCCCACATGGGTACAATTTATGAAGCCAATTTCTGGTGTCCCCCGCCGTGATATTGCTGGAATATTGCTAAAGCAGCGTAAAACGATACTCACTCACTCACTCACTCACTCAAATCAATGTATAAGAATGTTCCATGGTACCCTGAAATCTGGTTTGGTCTTGGCTGCTGTAGACGATTCCAGATGACTTAGACTTAAATGTAACAACATCTACATCACAATATAATGTGTCGTAACGTAATGTAATGTGTCGTAAAGTAACGTAATGTAGTGAGTCGAAACGTAAAGTAATGTAATGTGTCGTAACGTAACGTAACATACTGTAATGTGTCGTAACGTAACGATGTGTATTGTGTCATAACGTAATGTAACGCAATGTGTCGTAACGTAACATACGTAATGTGTAGTAAAGTAACGTAGTGCAATGTGTCGTAAACTAACGCAATGTAATGTGTCGAAATTTAAGGTAATGTAATGTGTCGAAACGTAACGTAATGTAATGTGTCGAAACGTAACGTAATGTAATGTGTCGTAATGAAATGTGTCGAAACGTAACGTACTGTAATGTGTCGTAACGTAATGTAATGTAATGTGTCGTACATTAACTAATGTAATGTCTCGTAACGTAGTGTAATATGTCGAAACTTAACGTAATGTAATGTGTCGTACAGTAACTAATGCAATGTGTCGTAAATTAACTAATGTAATGTGTCGTAACGGAACATAGTGTATTGCTAAGTAACGTAACGTTTTGTTACGTAATGGAATAGCGCTACGACATTCGCAAGCCTGTGATTATAGAGTTACGACAGGTCGTAACGTTACGAACGCTTTGAGGATCGGGACCCAAGGGAGCTAAAGTGCGTGGCAGTTTCTTGTTTTCATTTCAATCCCTAGTCACAATTATTATTTGCTTTTACAGTTGTTTTATCGCTTAAGTTTCGTCTATTTCTTTCTACTGAAACTATTGCACGTATATCACAATCCAATACCTATATTAAATATCTTATTTTGGTTACAATAAATCTTCCCTGCACGTGGTACTATACCAGGTGACATGCTGCGTCGTTACAATCTCCATATCTGTAATATAAGTTTATATCTCATTTATTTGTGTTTGGAAACGCGTGCTCTACAACGTTACGATTGCCTTGGCGCATATGCTTGAAAGTAATAATGATAATAATGAATTTATTTATATCATTGAATTTTCTGTCCCTTTTGACAGCAACGTGATTGGCAATATTCAGGAAAAGCATGATAAATATGCGGACCTCGCCTTTGAAATGTCTCGCTTGCATCTCAGGTACACTGTCGTCAGGCTCCTCATTGTTCACGGTGCCCTTGGTTTGGTACCTCATGATCTCTTGGCGCAGATCAGGAGTGTGCCAGGGTACTCCACCGGGCACACTCTGGGTAATGCAGAAGGCTGCAGTGTTGGGGAGTCTACATATTCTCCGGAAAGTTCTTGGTGGGTTCGACTAGGCAGCGTTTCCTGGGATAAGTCCCATTTGCAGTCTGGGCTGCGTATAGAGGGGGCAAGGTCCCTGAGCTGATGATGAGCCTTACCAGCCTGACTGTGCCAGGATCACCAGAACCCGCTCTGCCTGCATACTATCATTAATCCGTAAAACATAAAAAAAAGACATCTTCTATGGCGCACAGTCTCCAAACACCAAGTGATTGCTCGCGGCGCTTTGTCAGAATCTGATTATTATTATTACCCCGGATAACCCAAACTGCCTGTTAGGTGCTAGGTTATAGTCACGTGACTTTTTCCAACCGGGTACCCATTTTCTGCTGGGTGAACAGAGGCAATTGGAACAAACTCACTTGAATAAGGTGAGACCACGTGTATCATGTGCTTCGTTGTGGGGCAGGACTGAAGTCCTAGAAACTCTCAGGAGTCAAGCTGCCAAACACGGTCACCCATCCAAGTAGTGGAACTGAGACAGGTAGCCAGTAGGCAGCTTTAATGTGTTTCAAGCTGTGATTTGCAGAAATTAAAACAGATTAGCAGAACTGTGCCAACCACTGCAAGTGGAATAGACAAGACTTCCATACATTGTTATTAGGAGATTGGTTCGGACCACCCCACGCTTTATGAAGGGATATTTGGCCAATTGTGGGGGCGTGACCCACAATAGATCACGTGATCTCAGGCGTTCATGTGTTGACCATTCCATTGTGTTTTTCGTTGACAGTGTTTGAAGAGATTACACGATGAGGTGAAACCCATATCCACTCCTCTCCTCTAATCGCACCTCTTGAAGCCGTTGGTGATAAGGTACCAACATGTTCTGACAATGCTTAACCACAATGTCAACTCGATCGCTGGTTTGTTGGGAGACTAACATAACAATACCACTACAATCTCAACTCCACATTCTACACTTGTGATCAGCTCAAGCCGGAGATAAAGCACTCTCCAAACAATACCATGTCACATGTTATCACTCACCAGACGCCGTATCAGCGGACAGTGGGTGTTATCACTGGAGAGGCGGGTTATCGTGATGTACAGATGAAGTACAAGTGCTTGGACACCTATACGACGCTTGACTCAGGTAAGTCGTGTACTTCATTACTGCTGTTTACATTTCATTTTATGAGTACCAGTCCCCACCCCGATCCTACTTTTAAAAATATTGTTCTTTAGTATCTAAATCGTTTATTGTAAATGATATTATGTAATAGGAGTCGGATCCTTGCTAATTCGACAAATGTAGACAAACGGGCCATTTCGGCCTCCTGGGAATCGGAACATCACGAACACTTTGATATATCATGATGATGTACATATTCAAATGGCTTATATTCAACCATTTTTCACAGTTGCGTGCTATGCATGGTAAGCTCCACACGAAGGGTTTAAATAAGTGAAAAGTGGACTTTTCAAAAAGAACTTTCGTGTGTTTATAGGGAAGGAACATTTCCTCCAGCACCTGGTATCGTCACTATTTGATACTGATTCATGCTTTTGATATTGATGGAATTTTTCAACGTACTCAGCCTTTCTTTCTTCCTGCACCCGTGAAGGTCCGGGTTAGAATATCGATCTTCAGTAACCCATGCTTGTCGTAAGAGGCGACTAACGGGATCGGGTGGTCTGGCTCGCTGACTTGGTTGACACATGTTATCGGTTCCCAATTGCGCAGATCGATGCTCATGCTGTTGATCACTGGATTGCTGGAATATTTAAACTCACTCACTCACCCAGACAAACTTTGGCTGCAAAAGACACCTTCCTTAACCCAAATCTTCACAGGATATATGTCTGAAGTATGCCCGGATTTTATGCTGTCACGAATAGTCTGTTTTGTGCGGGTAAAATTCATTGAGCAGAGTAATGTCCCTTGGACGTGCTTCAAAGTTATGATCCGGGTTTGAATTTCCGATTCGCCCTAATTACGATAAATGGTTTGTAGCAACACACCAATGTTCAGTTCAGGTCATGGAAAGCAATAAAAGAATTTTATACCGCTTTTGGCAATATTACGACAATATCATGGCGGCGGACTTTCGACATTGCGCCCATGTTTAAAGTCGAGTCAGGCCTTAAAGGTAAAGTATCCCGGTATCAGGGGTTTTCGACGATGTAAGACAAAAACGTAATTTTTATCTGTAATATCATATGAAGTTTTAATATGACTAACCTTGGGTGATGAAGGATATATTCATCTATTTCACACAAAAATATCAAGTGTTTCCTACAAAAATAAGGTTGATGACATCGTATCGGCGAAACTGTTGCCGTTCGCCACATCCGTGGATTTTGTATGGGTTTTCGACGAGCCATACTTTTCGCTCCGCACTGCGAGGGAGTGTTGTGATAACGTGGCTTTCTATTTAAATGTTGCCTGTCACCAGCAGACGAATGATCTTACTGAATTTTCGCTTGCTATTTTTTGTTATAAAGGCAATTGATTTTACATCTGAAGTGGTATTAACGATCTCGGGTAAATAATATTGATGTTTGTTTGCTTTTTAAACAACTTACCTTCCGGTTTCAATTGTCAATAAAACTTCTCACGACAGTGACTGGGCACCCGCCCTGCCGATGAAATTGCTTGTGCTAACCGATCGCGCACGTACTCCCCCAATATAGCGCCAGCAATGCAATCGTCGAAAACACCAGAACGTCGAATTCAGCTCGCTTTGGGATACTTGAGGGTTGAAGTTGTGAAGGCAGGCTTTGATAAAAACAGATTTATTAACTATTTTCAGGAACCATTATGAATGAGACTGGATCTGACAACGATGAGGCGATACCAGAGCGCTACCTACAATGTCGTCTGTGTCAAAAGCAGTACAGCCAAGGTAACAGGTGCCCCCGAATCTTGCCCTGCTTGCACTCCTACTGTCTGGGGTGCCTGGAACTCGGATGGGACTGGGCATCCACCGGAATCACGTGTCAACTCTGCAATGCAACCTGGGAGGTACACGACAGCGTCGAGGCAACGTTCCCAGTTAACTACGTAGCCATGAAGCTCCTTACTCTGGCGAAGGTTGAGAACTCCCGAACGGTGCACTGCACTGACTGTGCTGAAAGCAAACGGGCGACACATCGATGTGTGGAGTGTCATCACTTCATTTGTAACGAGGGTTACCAAGCTCACAGACAGTTCGTGCAACTACAGACACACAGACTTCTCACTATTGGCGAGTTCCTGAAATCGCCATCGGAGATGTTTACGAAGGAAGACATGTGTGACGTCCATGTTGGTCAGCCTCTGGACCTCTTCTGTCTCAGTGACACGTGCAGATGTGCTATTTGTGCATCATGTGCCCTCGTCTCTCACACGGAGAGAGACGGCCATCGTATAGGTAATTCACGTCATACAGTCAGCTTCAGCTGCCCAATAGCTTACTCTCTACCTCACGCAACCAACCACGCATTCCCACTCACTGACAACCTGTTATTCACCAACTCATTCAGTGACTTACGCAGTTCGACCGCCTCCGTGGTGTAGTGGTTAGAGCGTCCGCCCGGAGAGCGGAAGGTCGCAGGTCCGATCCCCGACCGCGTCATACCAAAAGACGTTAAAATATAGTACTTGTTGGTCCCTGCCTGGCGCTCGGCATTAATGGGTACAACAAGAACTGGTCGGCTCGGAGTCAGTATACTGTGTCTGAGTGGGGTATTCATGCTTCACTGCGGTATGGTATCTCAGTGAGCTAGCACTATAAAACCAGCTTCAGTCTGGGCTAGTACAAGCAGCCGCACATACACATACACACGCATGCACGTCGTCATATGAGCGAAATATTCTCAAGCACGACGTTAAACCCAATTTCACCTCACCTCACTTACGCAGTTCCTCGTTCAGCGACTCGGTTAACCATGCGTCAGATCACAGTCGCCCATTTAATGTCACCTGTTCAAACATTAGTCCACTCATATATTCATTCACACGTTCACTGGCATTTCACACAGGGACTCACAACCACTCGTTCGTTCAAACACATCTTCAATTCACACAAACATCCATTCGTTCATTCGTTAATCCGCTCAGCTCATACTCATTCGTTCACAGATATTCATTCGTTCATTCACACAGCCATCCATTCATTATTCAATCAGCCACAAATTCATTCATTGATTCATCATCCAAACTACTCATTCATTCATCTCCAATGCGACTCATTCGTTCGGTTACACGGTAACTCATTCCTGCATTCATTTACACAGCCTCTCATTCATTCATTTACAGGAGCAATCATCCATTTATTTATTCACACCACCTCAGTTTACACGTACACTAACTTAGTTATAGATGCTCATGCTGTTGATCACTGGATTTTCTGGTCCAGACTCGAGTATTTACAGACCGCCACCATACAGCTCGAATATTGCTGAGTGCGGCGTAACACTAAACTCACTCACTCACTCACTCATACAGTCAGTCAAACAGCTACTCATGTATTCTCTATAGCTATATTTGGTATGTCTGACCAGGTAAGGTGCAGGAGGTGTACACTGACCAGGCAGGGCAAACCCGGGCCCTGATCGAGCAAATATGTTTGAAGCTGGAGAACGCCAAAGAAGGGCTCAACGTGTCTGAACGTCAACTGAAGCAACTGGAGGGTCGCGAAGCCGACATTAAGTCGGACATCAGAGAGGTCAGCACTGCACTAGGTGTCAATCTATGTCCCATTATTAGAATGCTTCATCACGTGATCCACCGAACGCAGACCGTGCCCCACTGTCACGGCGGTTTAATGAGTACAGTGGCACTTATGACCACATCGTGAACACCAACCCTGTCTGTTATCCTGTTGATATAATGTCTCATGTTATCAGTTGATTGCGTGACCGCTTTGAAGTAGATATTTTTTTGTACAAGGGAGGGCGATGCCCAACAATAATCAAGTTCCATTTTTCTGAGAAATCTGCCTGCCTCCACCCACGGGAATGTTCTGTCACCAGACTAATAATGAACATTTCAGGAGCTTCTGTCATGTCCTGGTCCTCTGTCTAGTCGGTTCCCATGGTAATGCTTTCGTCAACGATGTATTGGTGCTTCCCAAGAATCGACCCGTGAAGGTCCGGGTTAGAATGTGCCTTCAGCAACCCATGCTTGTCGTAAGAAGCGACTAACGGGATCGGGTGGTCAGGCTCGATGACTTGGTTGACACATGTCATCGGTTCCCAATTGCGCAGATCGATGCTCATGCTGTTGATCACTGGATTGTCTGGTCCAGACTCGATTATTTACAGACCTCCGCCATATAGCTGGAATATTGCTGAGTGCGGTGTAAAACTAAACCTACTCACTCACTCCCAAGAATCGACTCATCGACACGCACCTTGTATTCCTAATACCACAACCAGCGCCACATCTGTCATTGCTGTTCGTCTGGCGGTGCAGGTGGTGCTTGTTTGTGTTGCTGTTCTTGTCCAACAATATATTTTGTCGCCAGGTATTTGAAAGTTTGATGGAGACTCTGAAATCGAGACGGGACGCCATGATCAAAACTGTTGATGACATCCTAGAAAGAGAACGTGCTGATTTCGAGGGCGCCAAATCAGAGACGATGTCGTCTGAGAAGCGAATGCTGGAAGCTGTTGAGTTCGCCAATCAGGCTCTCTCCGTGTGTAGTTATGCAGAGTTCATGGAACTGAGCTCTGTGCTGGAGGTGAGTGGTATTCAGTTCTTGCGTTTAGTTAGGTAATAGTAGTAGTGGCCGCAGATGTAGCAGTCGGTGGCGTCTTCGTCGTAGGAGTAGGATTAATTTTGTTGTTGTTACTGTTGCTATTGTTGTGTTGAACGCACCCAGTAATGCCCTTCGTCGCCAGGTAATATGCCATTAATGTAGATGTCGTCTACTCGGTTATACGACCCGTGAAGATCCGGGGTAGAATAGGTCTTCAGCAACCCATGTGCTTGCCATAAAAAGGCGACTATCTTGTCGTAAGAGGCGACTAACGGGATCGGGTGGTCAGTTTTGCTGACTTGGTTGACTCATGTCATCGGTTCCCAATTGCGCAGATCGATGCTCATGCTGTTGATCACTGGATTGTCTGGTCCAGACTCGATTATTTACAGACCGCCGCCATATAGCTGGAATATTGCTGAGTGCGGCGTAAAACTAAACTCACTCACTCACTACTCGGTTATACCGTATACGGCAGTCGGTGGCAATTAGGTAATGTGATAGTTAGATAACCTTGGGGAGGAATAGACAATTGTTCAGTTTGGGGGTTGTTTGGAATAATAACAGTGAGTGTTGTTTTACGCCGCTTGTAGCAATTTTCCCACAATATCTCGGGGGGCGACACCAAGCTGGGTGACCTTGTTGATTTCGTGTCCTCTTTTGCGTGGATCAAAGTTCATTATGTCAATCGCTAGATTGTCTTGTCCAGGCTCAAGTATTTACAGACCGCCATCATATAACTGGTATATTGCTAAGCGCGCCGTTCAAAAAAGCAGCAAGTCTTTAGTTGATGTTTTCTATTGGAACAGGACACGATGACGAATCTGCAAGGAGACACTGTTGAACTGCGCTGTGTGGAGAAGGACTTCCAGATGGATTCCACCCGTTTGGACAGCCTCAAAACGAGTATTATCAAATTTGGGGACATTATTGAAACTTGCGCCAACCCACACACATGGCATCCAGTCATCGAGGTAGTGGATGCACATCCGGGTCACGAGGCTAACATCATGGAGGTCAAGTTCATTAATGAAATAAACAAAATGGCGGCAGCGGAAATACCCAAGATCGGGGTGAAGATCGAACGATGTGATCCACAAAACGGTGCTCGCATCATGTGTCTTCGATCGCACGGTGAAAGTCGAAAAGTAGGGTACCAGGTGAAGTTTACACCGCCCCGTGACGTCATGTACAGAGCCAAGCTGAAAATTTCCCATATGAAGCTAGCCCAGGACGTGTTCGGTTTTCGATGTAGGGATGAAAGAGGTGAGGGTCATACAGCAGGTAGTGGCTGTGTAGAACTAAGGCTTTTATCCTCCCTGCATTATCGGGGCGTTGAGGTAGCCCAGTGGTTAAAGCGTTCGCTCTTCACGCCGAAGACCCGGGTTCGATTCCCCAGATGCCAATTTCTGGTGTCCAACGCTATGATATTGCTGGAATATTGCTAAGAGTGGCGTAAAAAATACAACTCTCTCACTCACTCACGCTGCATTATATGACAAGCAATATGAACTTACGAACTCTTTTTTCTGCTTTGTGTTTAATGTTTCTGTTTGTTTCTTATTATTATTTGTTTTGGGAGTGTTATTGCTGGAATGTTGCTTAAAGTAAATCCATACTCACTCACTCATAATATCCGCATCACTTGGTGTTTAACTCACTCACTCTGTGTTTCAGGTGAAGGCAGGGACAGAACTATATACATCGCACAGCGGCAGTTGGGAGACGCAGATATGTGGGGTTTCCTTGTCATCAAGTGTAAGCTTGCTTGCTTGTTTCTTGTACGCTGTACTCAGCATTATTCCCGATGTTTATTGTCGAGTCTGGATCAGAATATCCAGTGATAGACGCCCTGAACAACGACCTGCGTAAGTGGAATCTGATCACATGCATCAACCAAGTCAGTATTTAAGTGACATCACGGCCTATCAACACTACAATGATAGTCGCCTAACACCGGTGAATCAGTTGGTCAGTGAGATGGATGTCACTCTCTTTAACCTGTATTCAAGCAAAATACCACCAGGGGACACCAGAAACAGACTTCACACACTGCACATATGTTGGGATTCAAACCTAGTCTTACTACCGAAAGCTTCAGGCACTAGGCTGCCAGACAGGCTCGGTTCGGTCGTCAGAATCGGGGCCTATTTTTCGCATCATTGTAATCTAAATCTTAATGTTCAAACATTGGTTTGACTGGCCCAGACCTGTTCAAAACCTGAATATTGATGGCTGTTAATAGTGGGCATTTAATAGTTATGTGCTTTGCATGTTTTCATTATTTACTACATGCACTCTTGGGACTATTTCTAGGTCCATACATCCGTCTATCTGAGGACACACTCAACATGGACTGGTGCCGCCTAAGAGACCGGACTCTGCTGGTCAACAAGCCACCCCACAAGCAGCTGTCGGACAACACCCTGAGACTACGCTCCTACCCCGGTGTTGTGGCGGCGGTGTCCCTGAGGGAAGAGGGGAAGTGTTATTGGGAGGTCACCTGCAGGAGTCAGGTCAAACAGAGATGGTGGGGGTCAATATTTGAGACAGGGATAGCACGGAGAGTGGCATTGGACACACCCTACATCGTGGGCTACAGCCACCACGGCTGGACTCTCCAGATAGTGTACTGCACGGTCCATAAGAACGTATGTGCGCAGACCAGGAATAACCGGCAGACACTGTACCATCTGCCTCTGGTTGCGGAGGAGCTGACGTCTGTCCTCGACGTCCACGTTGGGTTCCTCATGGACTTTGACACCAACCAGTTGCACGTCATAGACGCCAAGCAGTCACTGTTGCTGTACACGTTCAGGGACGTGGACGTCAGCAAGCAGCTGTGGCCGTTCTGCGGCATCTTCAACAACAACTGGTACAGCACGGAGCTGAAGATGATGACAGGGGCGGAGATAGTGCTGAAACAGTGCCACCTGAAGCTTCTGCAGGATCTGTGTGAGACGTTCTAATGGTCTGGATTCGAAGAACGTTACTGACTACAGAATTAGGACTTCTGACGTTGATGTAATGAAGACAAAACAGACAAAAGATGGAATGTTCTCAACATCTGCTACTGAATACAAAGGTTAAGATGGGCTTTAAGAACAATCTGAGAGAGGGTGATTCAGTTTTACGTCGCCTTTAGCAATATTCCAGCAATATCACGGCAGGGGACACCAGAAATGGGCTTCAGACATTGTACCCAAGTGGGGAATCGAAGTCGGGTCTTCAGCGTGACGGGCGAACGCTTTAACCACTGGGCTACCCCCACCGCCCAACTGATAGTGAAGACAAATGTTGGAATGACCTGACAATATGTCATTGAGGACAAGGTTAACATGTTATGTAACGATAAATCATTCAACACAAAGACTGGGACGAATATAGCTATCTCTCATTGAAGACATAGGTTGGCATGACCTGCCACTTGGGACAAGGCTGAGATGGTCTAACGATCTGTTCCCCAAGACACGGTTCAAATTGTCTGCAATAATTTCTTTGAAGACAAATGTATATATAGGTCTGCAACTTAAGATACGGTTCATGCAGTAGACGCTTGTTATACGTAACAAAGTTTAAAAAACGCAGCTTATGTCATAAATCAATCAGATAAGTCTCGAGTACAAGTAGGCCAAGAATATAGAGCCACGGGCTTCAGAAGAATAACAATGTTCATTTGACAATGAGGCCACATTAAGATATGCACGAAACTGTATAGGCTGAAGAAGCGAAGGGGTACCCTCGCATCGCGTAGTGATTTGCCATGAAAGATATAGAACTATACTGTGTACGGTATGACACATGAGGTGGTCCTCGATAAACATTCTGATAATAAAGTCTCAACCCAAATCAAAGTGTAGTTTCATCAGTATATCAGTTATATATCACAGTGCAGTCATCAGTATATCAGTTATATATCAAAGTGTAGTCGGCAGTATATCAGTTATATATCACGGTGCAGTCATCAGTATATCAGTTATAAATAACATCGCAGTCTGCAGTATGTCAATATTATATTACAGTGCAGTCTGCAGTATGTCAGTTATATATCACGGTGCAGTCTGCAGTATATCAGTTATACATCAGTGCAGTCTGCAGTATATCAATTATATAACACGGTGCAGTCTGAAGTATATCAGTTATATATCACGGTTCAGCACCTTGTACAGCCCTTTTACAGTCACTGGGTGATCTGGCGCGGATTACATTCTAATTAAGTGGGAATAAATCCTGGGATTAGGGTCTTACGAATAACGCCAATATACCTTTATTATCCTCCATTGCGGAGAGCTCGTACAATGAGAATTATAAGATTACATCAGAAATACAATGAGAATTATAAGATTACATCAGGAATAGAGAGTGACTCTGTCTTCTTTCCATCATTCACTCTGTACTGGAAGACAGTTTGTGTTTTGTAGTACGCAGTACACATGTTGTACACGTACTATACAACAGTCAGTGTGAATTGTGATCTATCACTTTCACTTAAAGGTCACATGCAACGTACAACACAACTTTGCAGATTCTGATACCTTTCGGTATGGGCTTACATATACAAATCATCAAAAATGCAAATTTCAACTTATAAAGTTGAAAAATAACGCGATGAAACAAAACCCGCGAAATCGGAGCACAAACGATTCACTAAATTCACCCCAGCGCTTGGGGTGAAAAGTGGTTTCAACAGCTGCGCTGGGCTGCGCTCATAGCACATGCTGTACAGTGAAATAGGTTCGCGCAGCTTGGAAGCGGGATGTCCGGATTATAAGGTCGTGAGCAGGAGTAGTTTAATCAAAACAAATAGTAAATAATCTACTCATTACATAAAAGAACCTTGTTAGGATCTAGATCTACTCAGCTATGTGTCAACCAGTGAGGCGTTCGACATTTCAAGACGGAAAACCTTCGCTGGCGGTGAATACTCGGTGAAGGCTTTGATGTGAGCTATTTTTCTAATGTTTTGTTGATATTTCACAGGCGCGAGCTTTTTATATGGTATGACAGTAGATTACCGATTTAACTGTTTATATAATTTCATTTGTCTATTTCACCACACGTTCTTCTTACCGAGTCACTTTCTCAGTTCGATACTTAAAAGCAATGTCATTATTTAGCGTTGACAGAATTTCTAACTGTGATATAGATATGTCGTTGTCACAGACAAAACTCAATGTCTGTTTTATTGACACCTATATGTGTCTGCCTGCCTGTCTGCTAATGACAATATTCAATACACAACTTCGATCACTGACCACATGCAATTTGAACTTAACACCTATCAGGCTATACACCATAAACAAAACGCATTGATTTATGGCCCGAGTTCGGTCTCTGTCACATTATGTAATTACACAGACAGGCAGGTGTGATACTTGTACACATGACATGTTATGATGTCTGTTGATTGCAAAATGTTATACACAAAAAATGAGCATGTATTTACAAAACCCAACATCTCTATATACACACACACACACAATGAGCCGTGAGGGCATCGGCAAATGAACCAGCCGTTACACTTGAGTGCACACCCACCCGCTCTGACTGGGTTCGGTATCCCGGGTGCTTCGTTTCGAGGGAAGTAAACCCAAGTACAAAATATTGCACTTTTGATTGGCGATTGTACGCTTATAATTTTGTTTATATGTTTTTTCATAATCAGCAATGTATATTATATGTCATGAATAAGTGATAATTGTGTTTTAATTATGTTTGATTTTTTGGTTGCATGTGACCTTTAAATATTGTGAAGAAAAACACTGAAGTCAGTTGGTCCAATATTGGCAAGTGTACACCACAGATCACCCCGCACTTCAGATGTATATTCACATGACGTTATGATGTGAGACAAGGGATCTGAAAAGAAGTTGTCACAGTGTTCGCACAGATACTCCCCTGATGCTCCCGTTTGTAAACGGCTACAATTTTGATAAAGTACCCGACAGAATGTCTGAGAATTGGATTCTTCCACACAGCTACCCAATCTGAGTGAACTGATAATGAAGAGCGAATGTGCTTGGATTCTTGGAGATCTAGGTCGTTATGGATCCGCTCAGTCCAAGATCGCGACTGAAAGTCGAATACTGCATATTTTACTTTCTTTTTCCATAAGGTATAACATGGGGAATTGCCGTTGTCGAGAAAGGTCCTGAGATGATCCACACACACACACACACACACACACACACACACACACACACACACACACACATATATATATATATATATATATACACATCGAAGATTGATTTCTCTACTAACTTGGGGAAACCAACTGCAAACTTTATGCAGCTGAGTTGCATCAAATTTCCGGAAAGCAAGTGCAAATATCGTGCATGTGAACAGCTGCGTTGTGGTGTAAAGTTTTGTTAAGAATTCCCCAATTTTCACTGATTTTCATCATTTACTGAACTCATGACAATAATCTTTTCAACGTTACGAATTTGTTTTACAATACATCTGTTCATGTGTAAACAGAGCCTTTGAGCAGTATGGCATACTTTGCAAAACTTAGTTTAGAACAGTTGCCTGAAGTAAGTGTCTATATTTACACTAGTGAGTCTATACTTTTGATGAGAAGTATAGATGGTCATCTCCTCCAGCCGTCTTGTTCTTCAGTTTCCCGCACAGTTTGGCTAGCATGGACTCAGTGATACGATGTGTGTCATTGTCGGCAACAGATAAGCATTGTGAAGGGGTGTTATTCACCTGATCCTCAATATCAGATTTGAATGGAACATCGAAGTGATCTTTCTCCGTGTCGTGGAAGGCAGTTTTAAGAGTGAGATGTCCATGCTTCCATCACTGATTCCGGTTCACTTACAACATTGCCGTCAGACATGACAGGATATACTGATGCAATGCTATTATTGCCTCGTGTTTTTGATGGACTTCCAGAAGAACTGCGGTTAATTTTAAAGGAGTGGCCAAACTCATCTAATTCAGACTTAGTATGCTCAGCTGTAGCAACTCTGAACTCACGCCGGAAAGTATCTTTCACATGCTTATATTGACGGAAGGAATCGTGCTCCATCCCTCTCGGTTGACCATCTGAGATCCAAGCACGTCTGGAAACTTCATATCATTATGATGTTTTCAAAGACCAGTAAGGTTTAAGGGCATCATTATATTACTTTGTTGGTAATGTTTCCGCTGCTGCTCTCAGCAATGTTTCCACTATGCTAACATAGTGTCCTTCAATTTTACAGCTTGTTCTTCAGGAACGCTTAATGGCCATAGCATGTGTGATACAGCAAACGTGTAGTCAGTAAGTACATTGTGTCGTTTTGCACTTTCCCATGAGATACGGGCCTTTAGTGAGTTCAACGTTGGAATAAAGCAAACATCGCATATTGATAAGGAACATAGCACCGGATGATGGTCCGAGATGTTAAAGATGTCATCATCTAGAATCTGAGACTTGGTCACATTTGCTGGATTTGTCTATTAGAATGTGATCTATTATAGTTGTACAGCACCTAGCCTCACCCTAGCTAAGCTGTTGATGAGACTTTGTGTACCTATATTTTCACACTTTGAAATTAGTAACTCCCTGTTGCCAATGTATAACCAGCTCCAACATGCCTGTAACCCATGGAGTTTGTTGCTGGAGTCGTGCACTTCCTGACTTTGTATACCTATACATGTATTTTCACACTTTTTGTAACTCTTTATTGCCAATGTGTAACCAGCTCCAACATGGAGTCGTGCACTCCCTGTCTTTGTATACCTATCTGAAATGAATAAAAAGATTATTTTTTTTAAAAGCTGTTGATTTGACCTTTCTCGTCTGGGAACTAGGGTGCTCCGGCACGGATTACATTCTAATTAGTGGGGATAAAACCTGGGATTAGGGTCTTACGAATAACGCCACTCAAGTGAATCTAAAAGTTTACACCTCGTGGCCACAGGATAATTATTCATTGAATTTGATTGTTCATTTAAAGGTTGTCTTAGATTAGTCGTTCTGACAGTATTTAGATATATAACAAAAGAGTTTTCATTTGAATATTTCTTCAGATACAAATTTTACCAAATGATTTTACAACGCTTCTTTTATTATGCCTTGCGGTCGCTCTCCTGACGGTTATGGCCATGGGCTGATGTGGCGTCATGCTGCTCAGGTCGTTATAGCAGACAATCGGGACAACTGTTGTCTGTCCATTTCCAAGTTGTAGCAATAAAAAATCTGAAGGCAAAAGAATTCAGTGTGAAACCAACGAACAACAAAGATGTTTTTTCTTGTGACAAGAAGATGACAATTTCTTCTTTATTATATGTCACAACGTTTCTGGGCTATTCCTTGCCCCTTCCTCGGGTGAATTGTAACAAACAAGGTACATCAATGAGTATATATACTAAATGTACAAGAGCCCAGTGTTGCATGTATATACAATACATTGGATAAGAAACGGGAGATGAAAGAGTGAGATGTACAGATGATGGGTATTGTTTATACAAGGGAAGAGTTTATACAAGTGATAAGCAGATGTGGGTGCAGGCCAGTAATGACCTAATTGACATACGATAAAGAAGAAGTTGTCATCCATAATATTTGCGTTTGACTTGAATACCAACTTCTAAATGCCAATCAAGAACCATTGTTTCCTTGGTTTTCAAATCAGTTCAAACTACTGAGTGAGATCATTACAGTGGTTATTGGCTGTATCTCCAGGGTGAAAAAAATGGTTTTGCATAACCGTTTCTCTTCGTGTAACGCGAGGTGGCAGAGCCATGCGTTTGGACCTTTATATAGTCGTTTCAACCCCATGATAAATTGCTTAAGAAGCCTTAAATATCGACTAACGAGAAACACCCTGAATCGTATGTATACGTCGTTTATACTTCCGATCTTTGACTACTGTAGCCATATTTATGACAATTGTACCAAAACTCAAGCAACAATCTTGGAAAACATGCACTTAGACGCGTTACGTACGATATGTGGAGCTGTTCGCGGCACCAGTCACGATAAAATCTACGCTGAAACATCCTCTGTTTCTCTTCGCGAAAGAAGAAGAATAGCTAAACTAATCGCATTTTTCAAAATGTATCATAACAGATTACCCCACTATCTAAACAAACTCGTCCCTCCCTTCGTCTCTCAAGTCAGTAACTATCCCTTACGTAACGCATCGCATTTGCAAACTATTGCCTGCCGTACTGCTCTATATGACAATTCATTTCTAACGGACGCTGTAAGTTTATGGAATAGTTTACCGCAAAATATTAAATCTCTTACAGACATCAATGATTTTAAATCTGCTTTAAGTCATAGAGCTAAAGACATTCATTTCGATCCAAATATAGGTTCAAGAGTTTGTCAAATCCTCCACTGTCGCTTAGGTTAGGATGTAGCGATCTCAACGCTGACAAACACAACAGACATATATCAGAGAGAGCAGATTGCTTGTGTGGCCACCCTACTAAAGATGCACGTCATTATTTCTTTGTATGTCCCAGATTTGATGCTGTAAGAATAAATAATTTTTATTATACCAATGGCTTTTCATTAGAAACAATCTTATACGGAACATCTTCCATGGACCCACAAATTCAATCACATATCTTACAATCAGTCCATCTATTTATAATTGAAACTAGGCGCTTTAACTGAGCAAGTCACACACTAAAACCTATAATTCTCAAAGCTATACTACTATGGATCCCGACTGCAGATGCCATGAATGTATACAACCATCATGATTTTAATTTTCCGACTACATGTCATACCATCTACTTTCATTTTAGATATCATTTTTTCTTGTCATGATACTGTTTCATATATCTATGTATATTGGAGCGGTCTTCATATAAGTTCTTTTGAGCTTGTTGACCAATCCAGTTCATGAAAATTCTGTCTTTGCTTTTTCATGAAATAAATATGTTTAAACCATATAGTCGTGAAAACCTCTCAGACGTTCAACACAATGTTGAATTAGTCCGGAAGATTCCAGAATACACTTAACTCGAAGAGCATCCAAATTAAGTAACTTCTGGTTATATATAGAGATATATCCCTGACTAGTGTCAAAACACAAAGTTATCAACTTCCGCCGAATTTCAACAGAAACAATTTAATACATCAAGTAGATTACGTCTCATCTCGTCTCAAGGATGGTCACAACTTCACGGTACACCACAATACGTAAAGCATGAATTTTCAACTTTATACTGTCTTTACCCGACAGTTTAGTTGTTAAACACGTTGGGTCAAACATGCATGTGCCAGTTATTGAATGTCACGTGTTGTATAGCTGACCCTGACAACGAGCTATGGCAGGTTACCCTGAACTTTGACCAGCAGCAGTTCATTATATCAATATTCTCGAGACAGGCGACATCAGTTTGTCGTCACACGGCTGAGATTGGGTATACATGTATTTTTATCCCCCTGTTTGATCAGGCTATCTCCAAGACCACAATACATGAGGCCAAATGATAGATAAGGTTATCTCAACGACAACAACGTATAGAGTTGTGTAAAATAGAGGAGTATGTTCCTATGATTGAACAGATGGCCTATACAAGTAGCTGTCATGGAAGTCCAGCAAATATGAAGAACAGTAATGTATTACATTATTCCCATCGGCTATACACATCCTGGAATAAAATAAATCCAATACAGTAGCAGTGAGTAGCAGCAGCAGCAGTAGTAGCAGTAGTAGTAGGAGCAGTAACAGTAATAGTAGCAGTAACTGTAGCAGCATGCAGTAACTATATCAGTAGTAGTAGTAGTAGTAGTAGTAGTAATGGTATTAGTAGTAGCAGCAGTAACAGTAATGTATTACATTATTCCCCCATCGGCTATACACAACCTGAAATAAGATAAAACCAATACAGAAACAGTGGCAGCAGCAGCAGCAGTAGTAGTAAAGTAGTAATAGCAGTAGTAGCAGTAGTAGAAGTAGTAGCAGCAGTAGTAGTAGCAGCAGCAGCAGTAGTAGTAGTAATAGAAGTAGTAGCAGCAGCAGTAGTAGTAGCAGCAGTAGCAGTAGTAGTAGCAGCAGCAGTAACAGAAGTAGCAGCAGCAGTAGCAGTAGTAGTAGCAGTAGTAGTAGTAGTAGTAGTAGTAGTAGTAGTAGTAGCAGCAGCAGCAGTAGTATGTGTCGAGCACCATTTATTGACATGAGAAAATACAAGGTGTCCGGTTATACAGAATGCATTAAAGTCGCCCGTTTAAAACAGTTCTAAGCAGGATAAGTAATTAAATTGTTTACTGTCATTAGAAAACTTAAAACTGTTGTGGAGCTGGATGATTTTGAAAATTAATGTCTTTCATAGAAATACAGACTTTGCTTTACAAAATACAAATCTATTAAACGAAAGAGTCTACAAAATGCCCCGTTAAAATATTAAAACGTGAAGTCTTTGTTATGACATGCAAACACCAGTAGTCCCATCAGCAGTGTCTGGGTCTGTACAAAGGCGGGACACGCTTCGCCGAACTGTCGTTAAATTTGTGGATGTGGTGTTTGCGACAATACAATAGGTGATGTGGAATGCACTTTCATAGCTTCCATGGTTTAACGAAATACAGCGTTACCAAGATTATTGCACTTTGCCCTGAATAGCTTCCATGTGGGGAATGAGACTTGACAATGCATCGTGACGTCGCTTACATTGTAAAATGGTGGTTCGTCGAGGGGTGAATGGTGCAGTTTGTTACGTCTGCAATTGTTAGTCATCAACAGCTTTATTGGCTAATGTATTTTTTTATAGTGTTAACCTACTTATAGTGTTAACCTACTGACAGTCTATGCTACAGTTTAACACAGACACCCCGTCAGGCACAGTAGACCGACTCCGATATGAACAGTGAGTGAGTATGGTTTTGCGCCGCTTTTAGCAATATTCCAGCAATATCACGGCGGGGGACACCAGAAATGGGCTTCATACATTATACCCATGTGAGGAATCGAACCCGCGTCTTCGGCGTGACGAGCGAACGCTTTAACCACTTTAAAACAATACTCACTCTCTATTTCAGTTCCATATGAAATATGTATAACTATCCGAGTACCACTTTGGTACAACTGACTGCTAAAATATATTTGCCGATTTGACGCCTAGCACAGCTTCATTGGTCAGGCATCGCTGAGTTTTCCCTGGCACTGCTATTTCTATCGGGAAAACGTCATGTTGGAATATATTTGGCATGCTTCAACAAAAATTACCTTTAGAGAATTGGAATGTGGCATTTATGCATTATTAACTAATTGTCGTGTCAATGATTTTCATAGATGTAATATGCAAAGGGTTGGTGCAGGTAATGGTGATTTGGCCGACCACTCATGATTTAGCTGAAATTAATGTAAACACTATTGAGCGAAATTTTGAATAAAATAGATTACAAATATTAATCCAGATATACGATAATGTTTTATTTATAACCTCTATGTATAATGACGTGAGTAGATTAACGCAGATCACATGACAGCCGCCCCTTCGATAACAGACAAAACATCCTCTAGTGTGGTTGTTGTCCGGTAACTGGGATATAAACTGTATATTTTCTACCATCGGTCACTAAATTTCACTGTCCGGAGATAAAGAAAGCATATTATGTATTGTATATATTTCTTTTCATCGATTCACATTTCGAGGTTTCCGTATATCAAGGATCCGGATTAGCGGGGTTCCGTTGTATATCCATCTTAATGATGTATTTGTAAGAGGACGAGTAAGTTTAGGTCACCTGCAAGGAACGAACGGTATATCAGTGCTATATATTGTAAATAATTAACAGTATGGGAATTACGACAATCCCCAAGGTCACGTACTATGTACTTTTATTTTCTTGTCTTTTCATGATTCTAACCATTTATGGACTCTGAACAGTCGCTTCCTTCCATAACAAAAGTGGTGATCGAAAACAATTTTGTTGCACAAAAATATAGGCTCCCATTGCAATTTTCCTTCTCATTGATACAATGATGTCCGTTTGTGCATGGTGTCCCCGAGATAAAATGGCGTAAAACACATCTATTCTCATTCACTCACATTATACACCACTAGCACAGTGACACGATCTTCACCACCACGACCCATGACCACATTCAGTATAATGATCACATGATGTCAATAATTACATAAAGCTTTATTTGTGTAGACCTAAACGCTGTCTCAACACCTACTCTCAGTCACTCATTAAACATTCTTAATGTACGAAATTACAGCCTCCCAGCCCAATCGTAGATTAAAGAGTAATTTCATTGTTAAATAAACATAACAGTGGCACATGGGGACTCTTTAAATGAACGTCTATTGATTTTCAATATACTGGTGAAGCCTTATCAAGTCTAGAATGAAAGCGGAAACAGAATTGAAACGTCCGGGTTTTACAATGTTTGTTCTCAAGTACTTCCGGTCATGCAAAACATACCCGATTTGTGTGAGTTTACATTTGTTTCAGGCGGGATAGTGATTATATCATCACATAATTTTATTTCTTTTCTTCGGTTGTGGTATTTATGTTTGACGGGAAACATTAAAGACTGGTGATGTAGTCTATATCTCATTCCCACTTCGTCTCGGTAGCTTCCCGACTGAGAAAAAAGTGTGAGGGGCCACCTCAGGTGATCTTGTGTGAATCATAGTCTATTTATTGTCAGAAATATTTTGTACTTGGAAGCTAGAAGGAGAGGAAGAAATATATGTATGTATGTTATTCCTTCAGTTTGTGCTGCATTGTATGTTGTCATGGTGGAAAGACCACAAGCTCTGCTTCACATTTCGGGCGCCAGGGTTAGGGCAACCTAACCCAAACTCTGACCTAAACTCTAACCTGACAAGGATGATTTTTAAATACTGTAGTCTGGGGTTGTGATTTTGGATTTTGTAAATTCAACAGGGAGGTTACGTGCAGACTTTTCCCTTCACCCGTAAGCAGTAAAAGATCCTGCTGTATTGGGATGTTTGTAAACAGTATTAGGATACATTTGACTTGTTTCATGGTACAATGAAAAAGAAATTAAGATGAAAAGAATCTGACTATTTAACAGTAGTTGTCAGACCAATAAGACATTAGATCAGCTGTTTGGAATTCTCAAAAAAGGAGAGGGCTCAATGGCCAGTCATTTTATTTGTTTATTTCAAGCTAACAAAGAAGGGTCACCAAAAAAATAATACACACTCTTTTGAGAGAGTCAAATATACTGAAATGTTTGAGAAATTCAACTCAAGCTAGTTGACAAAGTGAGTTATGATTATAAAAACATAACTTAGAATCATATAATTTCTATGTGGGAATTGTTGATATTTGTAGTAGACTTTGGGCGGAATATTGGGCTGGTCTTCTGTAAAGTGGGGTACATGAGGATATATCATGAGAAGCATCACAAATCATTATAAAAGCTAAGAAGAGTAACATGAATGAAAATTAGAGCATATTCATTTCAACAATTGCATGGTTGGGACTTATGACTAAGCGAAGTACACAAATGTACTTGACATGTCTAGGTAACACGTGTCACAATTCTAGCTACGCCTAGTTAAAAAAATAATAATGACAACACTTTTTTGCCTGATGTGGATCGGCTGAGCAGATAAAATGTGCATTTAATGATAAAAGCTTGAAACTTTGTACATTTATGGTTTGATGCATATTGAACATTTTAGAATATGGAGGCACTTAAAATAATTTCATTTTGCACGCGTGCGCAGTAGATACTAGATAGATAATATTTTGATTTTTCTGGCTCCCGTTATAGCTTTGGGGCTGCCATCAGTACACAAATGGGATGATTTGTCTCGAAAATACTGACCTGAAATTAATACTGGTTTAACATGTTAAAAATATTGCAGGAGCTATGTTACTGGTCCTCACACCAACAGAGTCCAGTGAATAGGGCCTTTGTTGGGATCTTCATGTAACACCTGTACCCCGTTGATCTCTAACAGTTGCTTTTAGACTGTTGCTTATGTATCTATCCCAAATCAGATCCAAACGTGTCACATTTCATAGCTGTGAATGGATGTATGGTATGAAAACCTCACTAGCATATTCATCAAATGTTTTGACTGTACCAGGTTTCAACATTCAGTGACATGACTTTATTTATTTATTTATTTATTTATTGTGCTGCAGTTCTTTCTCTACATTTTATATGCATTTTCAGTCTATTTTGATCAGATAAATCCCATACATATATTTTGTTAGGGAGTTCCATAGTCCAAAACGCTGTCTGCTAGCTGCCATTTTGGAAGGAGGGAATGTTCATTGTTTAGAAATGTTTTCTTTTATTCTAAAATTATGCATTTTCCTGTCATTGCATGTGCCTGTAGGTCACTATTTATGAAATTATGAGTATGTTATGCCTGGCTATTCTGATACTTTAAGGGGAAATGGTGAAAATAGTATGTCATAGTTTATGTACTGCGCATGCACACACATACAAAATTTGAGGTGCCTCCATATCTAAACTTATTTCAGACATGTTCTTTTATATCATGACCAATTTTGGTGAGTTTATCATCAGCTGCACAATTTTTATGGAAACTTGATCTTACCCGCTCCACTATGAGAGGGAATTTGTTTTTCATCAGATGCTGTGATAGCATAACACCATGTTTACATGGGACAAACACATTTAGCATTTAAACATAAGGATTTAGAATAACAATGCTGGTTGGATTGAATGTTTTTGCTGCTCTATTAGTTCTGAAAAGAGGAGTTTGAAAGCAGCATCTGGAATCTGAAAGTTTGTATTCATTTTGAAGAAAGTGTACAAGTCGGTAGCAATTTTCACAGCTAGATTTTCAGTTTGCAACCGGAATGAAGAGTTTTCTAAAGGGACTCATGATATCTTACTTGCAGTGTTCATGATTTTTTATACTTTATTTATATTATTTTTATTTAGAAAGATATCCAAACCAACAAGTCATTCAGAAACATAGTTACAAGGGATGTTTTGAATAAAAGATTTGTAAAACAAGAGTGAAATTGTTGACATTCCATTATCGGAAATATGGTTAATGGGCAGAATTACTAACAATTGTCGATATGAAACTGTGTCATGAATAGTGTCTTGCATAGAAAATTTTGATAAAATATACTTTTAATTTTTATACGCAACACACAAACTTACATCTATATTCATGAGTCACTTCGAAATTATAAATTTTTCCTTATCCTGACTCATGATTATTGCTTATCTCCCTTCTCCTTCGATGGTCAAGTGGAAACCTTGAATCCTATTCAAATTCACTGAAGCGTCCGTACAATCACTCACCCTGAGTTACCTCCAGGCATGATTATCACTCAACAGTTACATGAAATATTTTGATTTTGTCAAACCTTTTTTATTTTGTACTGGGATGGTGGGGTAGCCTAGTGGTAACGCCAAAGACCCGGGTTCATTTCCCCATTTGGGTACAATGTGTGAAGCCCATTTCTGGTGTCCCCTGCCATGATATTGCTGGAATATTGCTAAAAGCAGGGTAAAACCCAACTCACTCACTATTTTTTACCATGATGTTAATCGATAATTGATCATTATTTAGTCAATGTTATATTATCTCTATCTCTATCCCATTTAAACAGTTTTAGGAGATGGACACGAAGAACACAACAGTACACAGTGGCAGACATGCTCATTCTTAGATTTTCTCTTGGAATTGAAAATAATATGATTATCATGATTATGACTCTTTTTATCCATTAACATTAATTTGATTATGTGAGAAGTCCAAAACTTAAAGATCAGTTGTCAGCCTTTTCTACCAGTGAGTACCATGTTCTTCATTAGCAGAATAAATTCTGTGCCCTAGTTAACCTGAAGTGTGATGAAGATGGTGATATCACTTCTTAAAGGAGGCAGGGCGTTAGAGTAGCCTAGTGGTTAAAGCGTTCACTCGTCACTGCAAAGACCTGGGTTCGTTTCTCCACTTGGGAACAATGTGTGAAGCCCATTTCTGGTGTTCCCTGCCGTGATATTGCTTGAATATTGCTAAAAGCAGTGTAAAACTAGGGTACCCTACTAGCTAATGTGTTCATAGTCATGCCGAAAATCCAGGTTTGATTCCGAAAGTAGGTACACTGTGTGAGACCCATTTCTGGTGACCACCTCTGTGATATTGCTGGAATATTGCTAAAATGGCATGAAAACATTTATGGACATTTGTTCCAGGTATTTGTTGTTATAAAACATGGTCATGATACATACACTCGACGATCAAGAACGTGCATGGCTATCTGTAGCCTGTGCCTGTTCAGTAACCCATGCTTGTCATAAGAGGCGACTAATGGGATTGGGTGGTCAGACTCGCTGACTTGGTTGACACATGTCATCGGTTCCCAATTGAGCAGATTGATGCTCATGCTGTTGATCACTGGATTGTCTGGTCCAGACTCGATTATTTACAGACCGCCGCCATATAGCTAGAATATTACTGAGTGTGGCGTAAAACTAAACTCACTCACTCTGTGCCAGAAAGTTTTCACACTTCTACACCAAACTTGGCTTTGATAATCATTTTCATTAAATTTTAGTGTTAGACTATATGAGTTCAGATGATTTGAGCAAACACAATTTTATCACTCTTTATTGGACTCTGACTGGAGACTGGTGGCTTTAGTGGTTGATTGTATCTGCGGTGTTTGTTACAGATATGTTCCTAGGATGAACAGCTGAGACTACCATGACTACTGCCGTACAGCTGTGGGCTAACCTGGTCACGTGATGATGCAGTCTGTACGGGAAAGGGTGGCACAGATCTACTACACACATGGATTGTTCTGTGCCAGTCATCCCTACTCAATCATCGTCTCCGTCATCTGTGTCATCATATTTACATGGTAAGGCCACATCCAGGGTTGACAAGTCATCCCTACTCAATCATCGGCTCCGTCATCTGTGTCATCATATTTACATGGTAGGGCCACATCCAGGGTTGACAGTCATCCCTACTCAATCATCGTCTCCATCATCTGTGTCATCATATTTACATGGTAAGGCCACTTCCAAGGTTGACAGTCATCCCTACTCAATCATCGTCTCCGTCATCTGTGTCATCATATTTACATGTTAAGGCCACATCCAGGGTTGACCGTCATCCCTACTCAATCATCGTATCCGTCATCTGTGTCATCATATTTACATGGTAAGGCATCATCGTCTCCGTCATCTGTGTCATCATATTTACATGGTAAGGCCACATCCAGGGTTGACAGTCATCCCTACTCAATCATCGTCTCCGTCATCTGTGTCATCATATTTACATGGTAAGGCATCATCGTCTCCGTCATCTCTGTCATCATATTTACATGGTAAGGCCACATCCAGGGTTGACAAGTCATCCCTACTCAATCATCGGGTCTCCGTCATCTGTGTCATCATATTTACATGGTAGGACCACATCCAGGGTTGACCGTCATCCCTACTCAATCATCGTCTCCGTCATCTGTGTCATCATATTTACATGGTAAGGCATCATCGTCTCCATCATCTGTGTCAACATATTTACATGGTAAGGCCACATCCAGGGTTGACAGTCATCCCTACTCAATCATCGTCTCCGTCATCTGTGTCATCATATTTACATGGTAAGGCCACATCCAGGGTTGACAGTCATCCCTACTCAATCATCGTCTCCGTCATCTGTGTCATCATATTTACATGGTAAGGCCACATCCAGGGTTGACAGTCATCCCTACTCAATCATCGGCTCTGTCATCTGTGTCAACATATTTACATGGTAAGGCCACTTCCAGGGTTGACAAGTCATCCCTACTCAATCATCGTCTCCGTCATCTGTGTCAACATATTTACATGGTAAGGCCACATCCAGGGTTGACAGTCATCCCTACTCAATCATCGTCTCCGTCATCTGTGTCATCATATTTACATGGTAAGGCCACATCCAGGGTTGACAGTCATCCCTACTCAATCATCGTCTCGTCATCTGTGTCATCATGTGTCATCATATTTACATGGTAAGGCCACATCCAGGGTTGACAGTCATCCCTACTCAATCATCGTCTCCGTCATCTGTGTCATCATATTTACATGGTAAGGCCACATCCAGGGTTGACACTCATCCCTACTCAATCATCGTCTCCGTCATCTGTGTCATCATATTTACATGGTAAGGCCACATCCAGGGTTGACAGTCATCCCTACTCAATCATCGTCTCCGTCATCTGTGTCATCATATTTACATGGTAAGCCCACATCCAGGGTTGACACTCATCCCTACTCAATCATCGGCTCCGTCATCTGTGTCATCATATTTACCATCACTGCAAGGAAAATGTGCACGCGGGATTTTTAAGCATTTTTAACGACTTTTAAAGGTCACATGCAACGTAAAACACAACTTTGCAGATTCTGATACCTTTCGGTATGGACTAACCGAAACAAATCATCAAAAATGCAAATTCAACTTATAAAGTTGAAAAATAACATGATGAAAAAACCCTAACGAAATCGGAGTTCAAACGATTCACTAATTGTCCCCCAGAGCTTTGGGGAAAAGTGGTTTCAACAGCTACATGTGCTGTGAAATAGGTGCGTGTTGTCTGGTGAATACTCTGTGAAGGTTTTGGTGTGAAATAAGGTGGGGTAGCCTAGTGGTTAAAGCGTTGGTTCGATCACAATGTTGACCTGGTGAATACTCAATGTGTTAAGGCTTTGGTGTGAGCTAAAAGCGTAAAACTAAACTCAATGTCAGTCTAATGTTTTGTTGATATTTCACAGGCATGAGCTTTTTATATGTTATGACAGTAGATTACCGATTTAACTGTTTATATAATTTCATTTGTCTATTTCACCACACATTCTTCTTACTGAGTCACTTTCTCAGTTCGATACTTAAAAGCAATGTCATTATTTAGCGTTGACAGAATTTTATAACTGTGATATAGATATGTCGTTGTCACAGACAAAACTTAAAGTCTGTTTTATTGACACCTATGTCTCTGCCTGCCTGCCTGTCTGCTAATGACAATATTCAATACACAACTTCGATCACTGACCACATGCAATTTGAACTTAACACCTATCAGGCTATACATCCTAAACAAAACGCATTGATTTATGGCCCGAGTTAGGTCTCTGTCACATTATGTAATTACACAGACAGGCAGGTGTGATACTTGTACACATGACATGTTATGATGTCTGTTGATTGCAAAATGTTATACATGAAAAATGAGCATGTATTTACAAAACCCAACATCTCTATATATACACACACAAAAACCCAAGTACAAAATATTGCACTTTTGATTTGCGATTGTACGCTTATAATTTTGTTTATATGTTTTTTCATAACCAGCAATGTATATTATATGCCATGAATAAGTGATAATTGTGTTTTAATTATGTATGATTTTTTGGTTGCATGTGACCTTTAAATCATGACTTTGGGGTAGTATATATTATTGAACTAAGATTTCGATTTTGTCCTCCAGCTATCCCTTATCCAACCTGCCCCTGCTGGGCAACACCCCCCTGCAACATGGCATGACCCTGAGCGAGTTGAAGAAACACCCCAACCTGGGCGTGTCTCCGACTGCACGGAAGAAAGCACCAAGGGAGCAAGGAGAAGACCTGAAACTCCCTAGATGGGTAGGTGTCACAGGCCACCATAGTAGTTGGTATCACATGAACTAGGTCAGCCAGTGCCAAGGTTACTCAGTTCTTCATACAACAGGCAAAGTATTGAGTGCAGCATAATTAAGTGAATGTAACTGTCTGTTCTCATTGCCATTTGTGAGTATTTTGCTGTTTGCCCTTTCTAAGGGGCTGGTGATGTAGCCTAGTGGTTAAAGCGTTCGCTCGTCTTGCTGAAGGCCAGGGTTCGATTCAACGTATGGCAACATGTGTGAAGCCCATTTCTGGTGTCCCCCGCCATGATATTGCTGGAATATTGCTAAAGACCATACTCATTCACTGTTTCAGTTGCAGTTTTATGTGAAATATATAGAACTATCCAGGTACCTCTTTGGTACAACTGATTACTAAAGTATATTTGCCGGTTTGACGCCTAGCACAGCTTGGTCAGTCATCATTGGGTTTTCCCTTTGAACTGCTATTTCTATGGGGAAAACGTTATCTTTTTGTCATGCTGCAAGAAAAAATGTCTTTATGACTGCTGAAGAGGAACACTGTTTATGGATAGACAACTTGTTTATTGTAACAGACGTGATGTTTCGTTGCCAACACCTATATAGAGCAAATGATACCTTTGTGCATGGGACTTAGAAATGAGTGAGTGAGTGCATATATGTCACATTACGATTCATTAAACATCATTTATCAATCAATCAGAGAACCGAAACAATCTGAATGTTCTGTTGACAAAATCTGAATGTAGTGAGGGCATGTGATGACTGCAGATTCACTTTAATTAGATATATAATGATAAACACCTATGATGGCCTTCTTTTCTCCCCCCCCACAGGTTCAGTTTAATTAGATATATAATGACAACACCTATGAAGCCCATTTCTGGTGTCCCCCCACGTGATGTTGCTGGAATATTTAATTAGATATATAAAACCAAAACACCTATGATGGCCTCTTTTCTTCCCCACAGATTCACTTTAATTAGATATATAATGATAAACACCTATGATGGCCTTCTTTTCTCCCCACAGATTCACTTTAATTAGATATATAATGATAAACACCTATGATGGCCTTCTTTTCTCCCCACAGATTCACTTTAATTAGATATATAATGATAAACACCTATGATGGCCTTCTTTTCTCCCCCACAGATTCACTTTAATTAGATATATAATGATAAACACCTATGATAGCCTTCTTTTCTCTCCCCACAGATTCACTTTAATTAGATATATAATGATAAACACCTATGATAGCCTTCTTTTCTTCCCCACAGATTCACTTTTAATTAGATATATAATGATAAACACCTATGATGGCCTTCTTTTCTCTCCCCACAGATTCACTTTAATTAGATATATAATGATAAACACCTATGATGGCCTTCTTTTCTCCCCACAGATTCACTTTAATTAGATATATAATGATAAACACCTATGATGGCCTTCTTTTCTCCCCCACAGATTCACTTTAATTAGATATATAATGATAAACACCTATGATGGCCTTCTTTTCTTCCCCACAGATTCACTTTAATTAGATATATAATGATAAACACCTATGATGGCCTTCTTTTCTTTCCCCCCACAGATTCACTTTAATTAGATATATAATGATAAACACCTATGATGGCCTTCTTTTCTTCCCCCACAGATTCACTTTAATTAGATATATAATGATAAACACCTATGATGGCCTTCTTTTCTTCCCCACAGATTCACTTTAATTAGATATATAATGATAAACACCTATGATGGCCTTCTTTTCTTCCCCCACAGATTCACTTTAATTAGATATATAATGATAAACACCTATGATGGCCTTCTTTTTCCCCCCCCACAGATTCACTTTAATTAGATATATAATGATAAACACCTATGATGGCCTTCTTTTCTTCCCCCACAGATTCACTTTAATTAGATATATAATGATAAACACCTATGATGGCCTTCTTCTCTCCCCCACAGATTCACTTTAATTAGATATATAATGATAAACACCTATGATGGCCTTCTTTTCTCCCCCCACAGATTCACTTTAATTAGATATATAATGATAAACACCTATGATGGCCTTCTTTTCTCCCCCCACAGATTCACTTTAATTAGATATATAATGATAAACACCTATGATGGCCTTCTTTTCTCCCCCCACAGATTCACTTTAATTAGATATATAATGATAAACACCTATGATGGCCTTCTTTTCTCCCCCACAGATTCACTTTAATTAGATATATAATGATAAACACCTATGATGGCCTTCTTTTCTCCCCCACAGATTCACTTTAATTAGATATATAATGATAAACACCTATGATGGCCTTCTTTTCTTCCCCCCACAGATTCACTTTAATTAGATATATAATGATAAACACCTATGATGGCCTTCTTTTTCTCCCCCACAGATTCACTTTAATTAGATATATAATGATAAACACCTATGATGGCCTTCTTTTCTCCCCCACAGATTCACTTTTAATTAGATATATAATGATAAACACCTATGATGGCCTTCTTTTCTTCCCCACAGATTCACTTTAATTAGATATATAATGATAAACACCTATGATGGCCTTCTTTTCTCCCCCACAGATTCACTTTTAATTAGATATATAATGATAAACACCTATGATGGCCTTCTTTTCTCCCCCACAGATTCACTTTAATTAGATATATAATGATAAAACACCTATGATGGCCTTCTTTTCTTCCCCACAGATTCACTTTAATTAGATATATAATGATAAACACCTATGATGGCCTTCTTTTCTCCCCCACAGATTCACTTTAATTAGATATATAATGATAAACACCTATGATGGCCTTCTTTTCTTCCCCCACAGATTCACTTTAATTAGATATATAATGATAAACACCTATGATGGCCTTCTTTTCTTCCCCCACAGATTCACTTTAATTAGATATATAATGATAAACACCTATGATGGCCTTCTTTTCTCTCCCCACAGATTCACTTTAATTAGATATATAATGATAAACACCTATGATGGCCTTCTTTTCTTCTCCCCCACAGATTCACTTTAATTAGATATATAATGATAAACACCTATGATGGCCTTCTTTTCTTCCCCCACAGATTCACTTTAATTAGATATATAATGATAAACACCTATGATGGCCTTCTTTTCTTCCCCCACAGATTCACTTTAATTAGATATATAATGATAAACACCTATGATGGCCTTCTTTTCTTCCCCACAGATTCACTTTTAATTAGATATATAATGATAAACACCTATGATGGCCTTCTTTTCTCCCCCACAGATTCACTTTAATTAGATATATAATGATAAACACCTATGATGGCCTTCTTCTTTTCTCCCCCACAGGTTCACTTTAATTAGATATATAATGATAAACACCTATGATGGCCTTCTTTTCTTCCCCCACAGATTCACTTTAATTAGATATATAATGATAAACACCTATGATGGCCTTCTTTTTCTCCCCCACAGATTCACTTTAATTAGATATATAATGATAAACACCTATGATAGCCTTCTTTTCTTCCCCCACAGATTCACTTTAATTAGATATATAATGATAAACACCTATGATGGCCTTCTTTTCTCTCCCCACAGATTCACTTTTAATTAGATATATAATGATAAACACCTATGATGGCCTTCTTTTCTTCCCCCACAGATTCACTTTAATTAGATATATAATGATAAACACCTATGATGGCCTTCTTTTCTCCCCCACAGGTTCACTTTAATTAGATATATAATGATAAACACCTATGATGGCCTTCTTTTCTTCCCCACAGATTCACTTTAATTAGATATATAATGATAAACACCTATGATGGCCTTCTTTCTTCCCCCCACAGATTCACTTTAATTAGATATATAATGGTAAACACCTATGATGGCCTTCTTTTCCTCCCCCCACAGATTCACTTTAATTAGATATATAATGATAAACACCTATGATGGCCTTCTTTTCTCTCCCCACAGATTCACTTTAATTAGATATATAATGATAAACACCTATGATGGCCTTCTTTTCTCCCCCCACAGGTTCACTTTAATTAGATATATAATGATAAACACCTATGATGGCCTTCTTTTCTCCCCCCACAGATTCACTTTAATTAGATATATAATGATAAACACCTATGATGGCCTTCTTTTCTTCCCCCCACAGGTTCACTTTAATTAGATATATAATGATAAACACCTATGATGGCCTTCTTTTCTCCCCCACAGGTTCACTTTAATTAGATATATAATGATAAAACACCTATGATGGCCTTCTTTCCCCCAGATTCACTTTAATTAGATATATAATGATAAACACCTATGATGGCCTTCTTTTCTCCCCCACAGATTCACTTTAATTAGATATATAATGGTAAACACCTATGATGGCCTTCTTTTCTTCCCCCACAGATTCACTTTAATTAGATATATAATGATAAACACCTATGATGGCCTTCTTTTCTCTCCCCACAGATTCACTTTAATTAGATATATAATGATAAACACCTATGATGGCCTTCTTTTCTTCCCCCACAGATTCACTTTAATTAGATATATAATGATAAACACCTATGATGGCCTTCTTTTCTTCCCCCCACAGGTTCACTTTAATTAGATATATAATGATAAACACCTATGATGGCCTTCTTTTTCCCCCCACAGATTCACTTTAATTAGATATATAATGATAAACACCTATGATGGCCTTCTTTTCTCCCCCACAGATTCACTTTAATTAGATATATAATGATAAACACCTATGATGGCCTTCTTTTCTTCCCCCACAGGTTCACTTTAATTAGATATATAATGATAAAACACCTATGATGGCCTTCTTTTCTTCCCCCACAGGTTCACTTTTAATTAGATATATAATGATAAACACCTATGATGGCCTTCTTTTCTTCCCCCACAGATTCACTTTAATTAGATATATAATGATAAACACCTATGATGGCCTTCTTTTCTCCCCCCACAGGTTCACTTTAAT